CGACACACGTCTAGTAGAGGGGACGGTTTCAAATAGGACACCGGTTGCAAACCGGAACGGACTCAATATTCACTTTCTCTCTTGGTATTTTGATTAGAAAACATGTCACAGTGAGACTACGATGTGTTATACTCCGAGCCAAAATTTCATGGCTCTGCGATGACCAGAAGCGCCATATCAAGCAGGTGAGTTTTTGACGTGTTGCTTCGCACTGCGACTTGAGTTTTACGACTTTCGAAAAATCAACTTCTTGTCGCAGGTAAACAGCGGCTCGCCTCTCGCCAATAAAGCACCGCATACCAATCAAAACTAATGGAAGCACACACAAGGCTTATTGTTACTCTGTACTGGCCGTCGTGGAGCGATAGCAATTACCTAATTTCAGACCCAGAGTGAATTTGACATGCACTCTAAAACGTGTCCGGTTTGGAGCCACCTCTGATTTGAACTTTTTTGAAGCGAAAAATTGGGCAACTTGGAGGCAATGGGTCAACACAAAGGAGTGGCTCAGTTCCATTGACTCTGGCCCCAGAGCAAACTTCAACATGCCAGTTTCCTTCCACAAACATATTTCGAGTGAAAAATCAACGCTGATGATCGGTTTGGGTCTATACAAAATTAATAATTAATTATTATTTGGCTGTCAAAACGTCCCGGTACCGCGGTATCGAGCCGTCCCCTCTACTGTGCTGAGCCTGTTGTACAATCATGTAGATCTATGACACGTGTACAAACTGTCAGTCATGACTCATGTGACATGTCATCAAGAGTACATAACGTGTGATGTCACAGTCCGTGCGCCAAATTCAAAAAAGTCGTCTAGAAGTTGCACTTTTATTTGCAACCGCGGGAAATTTGAGAGGTCTGGAGAAGAAAATTCTCAATGGGACTCAAAATTGACAAACAAGACGACGACCAGCGCTCGAGCATAGTACCTTTTCGCCATTCCTTCGTGCATGATACCTATTCTAATTGATAAACACTACCCTCATGTTTCGTTTCATGCGCAACGGACGAAGCGAAGTGTCTTTTTTCGTCCACGAAAGAAAGGTAAGGAAATTGTCGTCTTCGCGACACCCTTCGGATTATTTAGTGGGGCATTGTGGGCCAAGGATATTTTTTCTTTTTCTTTACAACTGTCCCCAGGTACTGAGACGGCGCTGATATCCTAGGAGTTCTGTTAGTGCAAAATGCCAGGTTACTGACTTATGGCGAGGTTTGTCCACCCAAAAATATGGGAGATTTCTTGGATAACATACACACATAATACAGTGAATGGTATTGCAGTGGGCATCCAAAACGGTTGAACCAAACAAATATGGTATGATACCTAGAGGCTAGGCACACAAAAATCACTCAGGAATTGGACGCAAGTCCCGGGACCTTGGTGCGTCATTACACCCGGACATTGAATGTTTGCCGGCACACGGCTTTTGCTCCACCACTTCATACAAGTTTACGCACTCACTCAATTCGAAAGACTGGAACGAGACCAAACCGAATGTGACAACTAAGAGCGAGTTGTGCATTTGTTGGAACAACGTTCGGGCATTGCGAGAAGGATATCAGCAGGGTCCAACAATGGCAGCAACAGCACCAGGTGATGATGGAGTACCAAGGAGCTTGTATCATGCACATTACAGTGAGCAACAAGAGAAACTGTACTGTGGTACGTGAAATCAGAGCCTGGGCAGGATGATCGACACTGTACACTGTGCTACAGCGCCTCAATTGTGCGAGAGAAAACAAACAGACCAGCAAGCACAGATCATGAACTGGTACACAACATTGACAAAGCACAAACCGCACAGCAAAGTTACAGGGCATAGCCGAGCGTTTTGTTGCCAATTAATTGCTTGAGAAGGGAGCAGTATTCCTTGTAACATTGCATGGAGTAAACGAGAACGCAGAGTCAGAACCAGGCGTAACAAGGCAAGACGGCTACTGTACAGGGGCAGGCTTGACGATCACTTGCATACTCGCAATTTTGGTACAACCAGGAAATTAGGCATCACGTCATACCGAAGTGGCTTCAACACGCTACATTGCATTCATAGCTGTACGGTGAACCTGTTACACGAGCTTCTGTGAAACAGACAGCATGCCAATGACCTGCAAGCACCAACAAACGCAGCCGGTAAAACAAACGCTACATAACTGCCCAACATAAACTTGTACATGCTGATGAGAAGCAAGAATGTGCTTGATGTTGGAAGTTATGCTCGCATATTCAAAAACATGCATGGAAAAACATCAATGACATTGTTCACGAATACAACAGAAACATCATACAGGGAGAGTAAGTAATCCTTCCTCCGTTTTGTATACGCGCACGCGCGCGCGCGTGTGGTAGATAAATCCGTTTGGCATGACTTTCGATCGAGGTTGCGTTCACCGTAGAGATAGGTGAACTCGAAGCCAACACCTCTCACTTTCGCTCTACTGCCCCTTTGGGGCCGATGCGATCCTTGTGCTAAGTTGTGGTAGTGGCTCAACAGAACAGGACAGGTGTGTGTGTGTGTGCACACGCGCGCGTGCGCGCATGTGTGTGTGTGTGTGCGTGCGTGTGTGTGTATGCGTAAGTGTGGTTTCTGAACTTTTCTCACAATCGTATAAGTTTCAAATTGTCGTGAAAACCCAGCTACACTGTGACCGGTACAATCGCATGTCGTTTACTAGTATCTGGCGGTCAGTCACATGGCATGTCGGGTATCCAACAGCACCGCACTGACAGCTTATAGACCTTATATTTAGTATTTATAGTCCTACTTCAAGTAAATGTAGACAGTCAGCATCATGAAAGTTGCCATTACGTAGAGTTAAATACAAGCCAGTCTCTAGAGATGAGCACGGCTGTCTCAGGGTAATACTAGTGATAAATACAGGTACTTCGAAGTACTGTCTTTTTTATCTGTTAAGTTAACACAAGATGGCTTTGTAGCTTCAGTCGTCCAGAATATTCATTTTATTCCGCGGTTGCCGCATAATCACCACGCAACTGTACTTGTGCAAATCTCCAAACGCTACGTAATTGGCCGACATTTACTTGTCCACGGTGATGAGAAGCACGGCTCTCCTAATTTTTAAATCATGAAAGGATTACATATGCAGGTACATGCATACAATGTGCACTATCCTGAAGTCGTGCGCAAATATTCAAAATCATTCACCGAACACAGAGAGGCGCACATACCGTAAAGTACCGCGAGAGCGCCCCACCTTGATTTTGCTGCGACAGATTTATATAATACAGCCAGGGAAAGGAAAATCGTGTGGCAGAGTGCAACGAAGTTCGTACGGTGTGAGCAACTTAGTGTACTAAGGTCACACTAAGCAGGTTTTTGTGTGGAGCTCGTGTCCGCTCGAAGGCACAGATTGTCTGCAGAACGTGCAATATGTGTACAAAGTTCGTGTCGTATAACCTACAGACCGGAGACCACCCCCACAATACGACCCCGAAAGGACGAGATGGTGGGGCGCTCTGGCGGTACTTTACGGTACATGTAAATACGAAGGAACCACATGCGCAGCAAGGAGATTAGTCATTACTTTACTTATGAGTTGATGGATAGAAGTTTCCTTTCAGCTGACCATTACCACTCATGAAAGCAATAGTGAGTGCTGTTGTTCTGATTCACAGGTATATATTCGGCACTTAGCGCAATGTGTTTTCGAAGCTAGGCACACGATTTGCATGAGGAAATCATGCAAAGATGTGGCATAAGGCCCTACAAACATGACCTAGGTAAAGGGATGCTATTATTTGCATTTGCAGTACTTTGCCATAGGATAATTTGTGTATGATTGTGTTGATCAATTTCACATAATTTCACGACAGGTCATAGTTTATTTAGTGGGGTGTTGTGGGCCAAGGATCTACGACCATGTCTTTTGCATTTCGAACAAGTAGACACTTTCAACAATTCATACAAAAAATGCCTTCAGTGCAAAACATACCGTTCGGACACACCAGGCAGTCCTTTCCAGCCTTGATTTTCAAGTGCAGACGTATCCACGATGACCTTCGAGTGAACTGCGGCTTGGAACACTTTGAATACGAACCACACACTCAAACTAACTAGACCACCGCATAGCTAGTGTATTCACGGAGCCAAAGAAGTCTCCTTCTGCCCCCACAGGGTCTTGGTTAGTTCTCTAGAAGGGACGAGAGCCATACCTAAATTCAATAAATTCTCCAATTCCAAAAGCCTCAAATGAAGGCGTCTTGGTGACTTCGTTTCCCGCGGTTGCAAATAAAATCAGCCCTTGAGTACCCCTTGGCGCACGGACTGGTCATGAGTACATATGCAGATCTAGTAATTAATATTTAAAAAAAATGCATTGTCGCGTATGTCATGTCTGCACCGGCACCATACCCATGATACCAGCTGCCAGGTAAACATGGTAAAGGGCTAGGCTAGGGCCCGGAATATGCCCGAAACCAGGGAGTATTTTACGACTCCCTGCCCGAAACTTTGCCGAAAATGCTTTTGGGGAAATTCTCGTAAACCTTGCCGAAAATGCTCCCAAACCTTGCCGAAAATGCTCGGAAATGCTCACTTTTTTGTAATCCTCAGCACACGCCGTCAAAAGACTCAAAACCAGAAAATACCGGTATTTTACGACTCCCTGGTCAAAACCATTATTTTCATAAACTACTATACCGGTAGACTACGTACTCAACAAGAAGCTCAACAAGAAGCTAACCCACGGAATGCGCGGAAGTGACGTTTTTGTTTGGCCACAAAATTGGGAAGTTTTTCTTCTCTCAATATTTTGATACACAACGGCCAAGTGCTCGTTTCCCCCAAAATGCTGCATCACGAGCCCAAAGTGCTGGGTTCGCGGATTGTAGATCTACCGAAAATGCTCAAAAAATGCCGGGACACTGAGCATGCCATGAGACATCTAGACAGTCGGACCAGGGAGTCGTAAAATACCAACACATCATCACATGCTTCCTCTGCATCTGAGATCTTGAGAAGTTAGTTGAGGTGAGATTTCGCGGAAGAAAGCACTTGAAGTACATCGAACTAACAACTGAGTCACCGCAGAGAACGATAGATACACCAGATCGGTCAAATAATTGGAAATTTGTGAAAGAGTATCGATGATGAATGTTTGTTGGAACGGACACGACTAGCAGCAAGTAGATTTCACAACTGGAGATGATGAATAGTAAAACTGGAAAGTTATGCTAGAGCTTACCAACTATAATCATTATTTGTAATTTTGTCTTGGTCGGAGAAGGTCACGAATCCGCCAGGCCGATGTCCAATGTCCATGGGAGTGTCAGCAGGCTGCGGTGTTTCGAATGACCCTGTCCTTGACGGTGTCGCCTGATCCGGCTGCCACAGGCGCTCCAACTGATGCCCGCGTTGCAAGATGTGCCAAGGAGAACGGCGAAATTCCCTCAAGCCACACGGCCAGGGCCTCTCTACAATTTATGAGACCGCGGACCTCATTTGATGTCGGGCGTTTGCCCGATTCTGCAAGACGTCGGACACACATCTCGTCTGTGCAATTTGAGTTTCCGTCTTTCAAGCCCTCACACAGGGTATTTCTGCCCCGGAGAGCGTTCGATGGATCCGACAACTGTTGGTGGAAGCCGCGTTTTGGACAGCAGGATTTTGAAAATGTCTACCAGAAGCGACAGGCAACTGTCCGAAGAAGAAGCCTTCGTAGTGCTTGCATCTGTGCCTCTGCCATAGCTTTAACATGGCTGATTTTCCTGGTTGCGTCCTACACACCGGTGTTGGTTGTAGGACCAGCCTGCTACCTGGCTTTCTGCTTAGCAATGTGGGCATTCACCTATCACTCTGCATATTACAAAGTGGAGAAAGCCGTAGCACTGGTATTCACTGCTGTGCTGGTTGCAGCGGGCTTGGCAATACACTCGTTCACGCAGGAACATGTGTCACTGGTCGCTCGCTTTGGCATCGCCACAAACGTGCTTGTGCTAATCTACGCCGTGATTCCGCTTCCAGTGCACCATTCCGGCCTGTTCGCCGTCTTCTTTAGCATTGCCCACGAGGCACTGGAGAAAGGCTTTGAGCCGCCCATGCACAGCGTTTATGGCCTGGCTGTACTTGTCATTTGCAAGGTGCTGGTTCATCTTGTCATTCACCTCATCCTGTTGTACGGCAGCTATATGCTGGAAGTGCTGAAGCGCAACACGTTCTGGCAACTCGGCCACTCGCTGCTGTATCAGCACGACCTGTCGTTCGAACTCAAGCTGAAGGAGAAGATGATCAACTCCATGATGCCGCAGCGCTTCTCTGAGGAGCTTCTCGGGAACCCACCTCAGATGGACGCTGTCTCAGCTTTGGCCGCACCATCTAACTCATCCAGTGCTGGTAGCCAGTACCTTTGTGTTGAGCCACACAGTGGACGTACTATTCCTGCCAGGCCTAGTCGCGTGCTGATTGGCTTTCGTCAACTCAACCTGTACAAGCAAGACAATGTCAGCATTCTGTTCGCCGACATTGTCGGCTTCACGCGCATGTCGTCCAATAAGTCTGCGCGGGACTTGGTGTTGCTGCTGAACGACTTGTTTGGCCGCTTCGATGACTTGGCGCTGCTCACTGGCTGCGAGAAGATCAGCACGCTGGGCGACTGCTACTACTGCGTAGCTGGCTGCCCGGAGCCGTGCAAGGACCATGCCGATCGCTGCGTCAAGATGGGCCTCGCCATTGTGGCGGCCATCCGTGAGTTCTGCGTTGACACGGGCGAGAGCGTGGACATGCGCGTCGGCATCCACACCGGCTCTGTCCTGTGCGGTGCGGTTGGGAAAAAGCGCATCAAGTTTGATGTCTTCTCCAACGATGTGCGCCTTGCAAACAAACTGGAGTCGAGCGGAGTGCCTGGGTTCGTTCATATCACAGATGCCACTTTCCAGGCTCTGCTAGACCAAGAAGACCTGCTAATTCGGGATGGTGATGCTGCTTCAAGATGCCCCGAAATGGCCAATATGAAAACATACCTGATCACCAGCACTTCTAATCCGATTAATATGCCCGTCAAGTGCCCAGCACTCAACGTGGTAATTGAGGAGTCAGTGGAGAACGAAGGCCTGCAGCAGACGCCATTGACAATGCAGACTAGCTTCTCCTTCGTACCGAACGATATAGAGTCGGATCATCTTCAGGTCGCTCCGTGCGTACCACTCAGCGTGCCCGAGATCAGTGCCGTGGACATCATGGACGTCAACCCATCAAAACAGCAACAGTACAGCGAAGCTAAGAGACAGCAGCCACTGCGCCGGCAGGCCACTCTGCCCTCGTCGCCTCGCTTTCACCGCGCCAGTCTGGTGGGAGAGATGCTGGCACGCGCAGACATACCAGCACCACAAGAGCCAGGCAGACAGCTCGAGAAAATCCACTCCGCCATTCTGGATGGGGCTGTGCGCCAAATGCATCGGATGGTTACAATCTTCGAGTCTGCGGATAACGTGTATCGCACTATTTACAACTCCGATGTCAAGCTGGAAGGGTTCAGTTGGCTGACGCTATCGTTCAAGGACTCCATCCTGGAAAGCCACTACCAGACGATGGCAGCGAAAGATGACGGAGTGCAGGTGTGGTCGACGTTCGACAATCCACGCTTTGCTATCCTGCTGCAGTCCAGCATGTGCTTTGTGTCGTTTCTCATCGCCTCGGTGGTGATCTATTTGCTGTACGGTGCCGGTGACATTGTGCAGCCCGTCGTCTTCTCGGTGGTGTTCGCCCTGTTCATTGCCGTGTGGCTCGTAGCCGGTGCAGCTGCCTACCCGTCCATGGTGCCAGCCAAGTGGCATAGCATCCTCAAGATGGCCATGAGCTGGAACTGGCTCAACGCGTTCGCCATTGTGCTCATCTTCTCACCGGTGGCAGTCATCTCGTCAGTGCTGCCGGCGCACTGCCCAGCAGCCACCCATGACACGTATGATGGCACCATCTTCATCTTCTATCTCATCCAGGTGGCGCTGGTCCAGTGCTTGTCGTTCACTCACTTCCACTCCGTTCTCAAGGCCTCGTCCACCATTGTCATCGGCACGATGGCAATCGTGATTTCCAAGACTGGCTGTGGAGGGCTGTGGCACAGATGTCTGCCTCTGTCCAATCACTTCCTGGATAACGGCTACTTCCAGCGCTTTGGCGATCCAAAGCTCTTTATCAGCGGCAATATCACGGCCGGCTTCTGTGTGCCATTGCTCAGCGACTCTGTAACTCACGAGATCATTCTGGACGTCATTCTGATGGTGGTCATACTCAACTTTCTCAATCGGGAGTTTGAGGTGTCGGCACGACTCAACTTCCGCACCAATATCCTGGCACAAGTGCATTACTGTGAGATTGAGGACTTGAAAGCTCAGGCCGATCAGCTGCTTTCCAACATTGTACCTGATCATGTCGTACTTGAATTACAGGTGAGCATTTTTTTGCCAATCCTCTTTGGAATGATCTTCCAATTACCGTAGTGTCTCGTGTAGAAGCTTGTTTTGAATACAAGCCTGATTTTTCGATACGCACTGTCAGCATGTAAGCCTGGTTTTAGTGTTGACATACATAGATATACCTGTCTTGTCTAGACGCCTGCACCATGCACGATAAAATCGCCAAAAGGGGGAGCTCGCCAGAGCCAGGGCCCATCTTTTTATGAATGGACTATAGTCGGCAACAGTTACTGAGATTTGGCACTTGTACAATAGAAATAGTGACACTGTGCACCCTGAGGCCGGTTGAGTGAGCCCTGGCATGTACCGACCACAGACGAAGCACACACACACGCACGCACGCACCTACCATGGGACTTTCGATGCCCATTACTCTGTGCAGTGATGTGTCGGGTTACATAGTATTTGGTGTGGCAAGTCAGATCATTAGGCTGACCGAAGTCGCTGTCGCAACCTCCGAATGATCATACTTGGTTTCAGCACGACAAGCTGGCACGATCACACAGGAGCCTTGTCTGGCCTGCAGCAGGTCTCTCCATTCTATCACGGAGTGCACACTTAGGCACACGCACATAATATGTACACGACGCTGATTCACGGTGGTGTCCACGTGTGTGTGCACACGCACATATGTACACGATGCTGATTGACGTTGGTCTTCACGTACGTGTGCGAGCATGCATGTCTGTTTGCTCTCCAGCAGCAATTCCCACAAGAGCAGTAGGGCTCTCAAAATCAAGCTAGAGTTTGTGGCTCTTACTATCCCTTCTTGTCGCCCTTACCCCGTTTAGCTCAACCAACCTCCCTTCTCCCCACTGTTTGCCTCTGTGCATTCTTTCCACAGCAATCACAAACCTACTCTGAGGATCATGAGTTGGTCGGTGTCGTGTTTGCCAACATCACCAACTTCACTGATTTCTACTCGGAGAGCTATGAAGGGGGCTTGGAGTGCATCCGCGTGTTGAATGAGCTGATCAGTGACGTTGATGACATGCTGGAAAGCGAGGAGTTCTCTTGTATTGAGAAGATCAAGACGATCGGATCGACGTACATGTGTGCATCCGGCTTGAATCAGAGTGACAGCAGCAGCAGAGATACCGCCCACCTGGTCTCCATGCTCAAGTTCTGCCTGCGCATGCACAGCATCGTGGCGGCATTCAATCAGAATATGCTTGGCTTCTCGTTCAAGCTGCGGATTGGCTTCAACTATGGTCCGGTGACGTCGGGTGTGGTGGGTACCAGCAAGCTCCTGTACGATATCTGGGGAGACACAGTCAACGTGGCATCTCGCATGGAGAGCACTGGTGTCGAAGGCCGAATACAGGTAAGAGCAACTCTGCAGCGTTTGCTAGGACTGTCAACAAGACATCGCTTATGGATACCGCTGATTGGCTTATACGGCATAGCACTATTGTACTACGCGTACTCGTAGCTTTGACGTGAAAGTTTGCGGACGTGCGGGACGTTATTAATAATGTGCGTCTCTTCCTCTCTAATGTCAGGGCTTGAGTCAGCTTCCTTGCATGATTCCCACTGCATTGGATCTTGCTAACAAGTGATGCTAGGGGCTGTGTTCTAGACCATCCATCAGGCTGATGGGCACTGATGATTGCTGCGGGCTTTGTCATGAGTATCTAGCCTGTTCATTCGTACTGGCCGTATCTCCACTGACATCATTTTTATGCCATTTCTGCGCTCTTGTGTTGCACCCTAGGTACCAGATCACTGCATGCGCGTTCTCAAGAAGGACTTCACCTTCGACGAACGAGAGGAAGCGATTGCGGTCAAAGGCAAGGGCATGATGAAAACGCACTTTGTTGATGCTCAGAAGGACCTCACTGACTTTGTGTTTGTCGGTTCAATCGACTGTTAGCAGTGCCGTGCGTTGCTGGCTCTCCAGAGTGGTGTACGCCGAGTGGACGTGTGTTTGGAACCCAGTTGTATCTCAATCTCCGGTGAGCGAGTTGTGGCTATCTTCAAAGCTCCCATGTACTCGTGGGCTATGCATGCGGATCTTGATGCGTAGAATCTACCCAGAAGTGTTCTTTTGGCAGTGTGCCTGTGCTCATCAGCGACGCGGGAAACATTGTGAGTAAGTTCCAGGTACGCACACTCCCTTTCGACTTTCTAGGTTTTATTACTGTTTTGGTCCGTTGGTCGCGGCAGATCGTTCTGCCATTGTATTCCTATCTCTCTTTTCGCCCAGTCTGTATGATTAGCGACGAAGTGCATGAGTATGTGTGTGCGTGTTTGTTTGCTGTTGTTGTTCTGCACCTGACACCATCTTCCTGGTGTTGTTGCCCCCTCCTCGAAATGTTACCTAGCCATGTGGTTGATGTCAACTGTTTGTTTTTTTAGATCTTTTCTTCTCTAACGCCACTCACTGCATAGTGACTTTAAACTTGTTTTTACTGCTCACAGTGGCGATCGTTCTGTGACTTCTATGGTCAGCATTGCCTTTTGCTAACACAAAAGTAAGGTATTTTCCTACTTTATATTTTACCCGTTAAGCAAATCTTGGGCTGAACGTATGACAATCTTTAAGTATACTAGATTATTCGACAAGCCTGTCAAACCAAATTTTAATATCTTTTTTTTAACTATTCTCTTTTTATACCCGTATGCTCGTGGCTTCCCTGTGCTTGTTACCAGTACCGGATCTTATCTTTCTTACGACCAGCCGGAATATTGAGATACGTGTTTTAATTTCTTAAGCGTAACGTACTGAACATAATCACTCGAGACTCATCCCTGTACAATGCGTGTTGGTTGGAAGTGGTCTATGTGACCAGTAACGTGCAACGTTCAAAACATTACATTGTACTGTTTTGAACATTGCAATTGAGTGTATGGTTATCTGACTTGTACGTTGGCTAGCGCCAAGCAGCGAGTAATACAACGCTATTTGTACTCGTGCTACTGCCGGGTTCCAGTCAGTCACCTGCAAGTTCTGCACTGTACATGAGGGTAAGCAAAGAAGAGCAACAGTGTACTTTGTAGAGACGTGGTTCAAACATGCATGATTGCACCTGGAGTCCACAACCCCAAGAGTGTACAACTCTGAGATCTCCAAGCTATGGGTGTTCTGCGTGCCTGAAAGCACACTGCCTTCACATTTACGTAGTGAAAATAATGATGATCAAGCAGCCTGGATTTTTAGTTTCCCCGCGACAACTTCACACGGACTGTGGTACGTTCAAAGGCATTACCTTTGCATGATGCATCTCATATCACGGTATATAAGGAATAATAACCCTCCAAAGCACCGGACGACTGAACGACCCCTGAATCCCCAACCTGCGGGTACGGGTGGACTTGAAAAAAAACTTGTTTCCGCTTATGGGCTCACCATCATGACCACAGAAAGTGGGTAAAAGGGCCATGCCCAGAAAAAAAGGATGGACAGCATGAAGGTATCCATCCCCGGGATCAAGAGTTCATTATGAACTCTTGCCGGGATCCAACTGGCTTTACTGCAATCACCCCTGTACTGACCCCATGCGAAAGAAGAACTTTGTTTGATTGTAGAAGGCTTTGTACATGCAAGAGTACGGGGGTTATAATTATACTCTTGGTACATGATGTATGTCTTGATCAAAACAATTAAATGCTTTTCGTTTGGGTACGCTTCCGAAATCACGGTGGGCATATTGTAGGGCCTTGTTGGTTCTAAAATTTAGCTCGCATATGCTGACATGTAGTTACAACCAGGAAGTCGTAAAATACCAAATTCCTGGGCTAGATAATAAAAAAACTTGCTTTTCCTGGCATGAGAGAAAGAGAGAGAGAAAAGAGATACCGTATTAGGCCATGTAAAATATATTGATTGTTTATCGTCAGATTTTCCCGAGAAATCGGGGCGGACGGGAGGTTTTTAATTTTATTTTTATTACGCATTTATGGCTGTAGGGCAGGTGTTCGCAACCCCAGAGGATTATGGAAAGTGGAACAACCAACGTTACGTAGAACAAAACGAAGAAAATCAGGCAGCTTATGATCAGTTTCACTTTTCAAGCCTATAGCAACTAAGTTATGGTTCAGGCTGTGGACTTGACCTTCGAAAATCTACGGCCATGCTGATTAGAGGCTGTAGACCGCAGTACATACAGTACATTTACCAGTATTAAAAAATAAAATAATTCGGCGGGGAGGGTGAAAATTTGGGGCGGGTGCGGACAATAAACAATCAATTTTTTTACTTGGCCTTAAATAATAATAATTAATAGCTCTAATCACGGTCCTTTATTTTTTCAATGTACCTCCGGCCCGTGCTATTAATGGAGACGTTCCTTTATTGGAGACTGTTCCATTATTATTTCAACCTCATTTCAGAGGCACGTTGCCATGCCAAATTCATGTCAGACACACACATTTCAGGGGTTTTTTCGCCGGTACAGATAATGAATTTACACAGTGTGCTTATAATGGAGACTGAGCATTTTATTTTTTGAATGCCGCCCCAAGGTGTTCTATTATTGGAGACGTGCTATTATTGGAGACTGTGCTTATATTAGAGATAATACGGTAGATAGATAGAGAGAGAGCCGTTGTGGACATGGAAATCCAGTTGATTGACCGGGGCCGGCGCCCTAAGCGCGTACAGAGCATGCAGTGCTTGATCCCATGCGACCATGTAGATCTACCACAAGGTGTGTACTGCTTACCCACGGCTACATGGCCAGCGCCATGGGGCCGCTAGACGTGCGACCAGATTTCCATGCCCACGACAGTACGTTTGGCTGAACTGACCAGGGCCTGCACACGCTGCTAACACACACACACAACTGAAGCCATAGTGTAACGGAATAAGAAACACCAAAACAGCGATTCTTGTTCCGGTTTCAAAAATCGTCAAACTCTTTCTGCCAAAGTGGCACTAGAAGCAAGAGTACCCCTGCTAGAAGTTAGTCTAAAACAGACACAAAATGAACTAAAGCGTGATATGTGAAAACCTAAACAGTAAAATATTGAAGAAATTCGTCTCGACATTGAGCAGCTTTCAAAAACAGAACAAATGAAAAGACGGCGATAGAAGTTTAAAATTGAATGATGCGTGTTTGGAGAGAGAGAGAGAGAGAGAGAGAGAGAGAGAGAGAGAGAGAGAGAGAGAGAGCAGTGTGACAGTGACAAAGTGAGGGCGCAGCAGACACAGCATGATCAACGCGGCTGTGACCGTGCCAGCAGGACCACATCCGCGTATCTTCGGTTCACCATACTCGTGTACAAGCTGGATGCGCCAGTAAAACAAAGGTCCCAGAGGAAGGTAGACAGTGAGTGACGTTACGAGACTATCAGAAGCAGGTCAGATGGCACATTGGTTGGTGTGGTTTTACCAGCCGTCGAATCCGGGCATGGGGAATTTGGTGCTGAACGTGCGCACCTCCTTCTTCAGGGCTTCGACCTTCTGGGCAAACTCAGGGCGTTGGACGACTTCATTGAATGCGCTCAGCTGTGTGGATCCTGGATGAACAAAGAGATCAGAGTTCCGACAAGGCATGCATGAACGAAACGGACAAGCCCAATCAGGTATTCCACAAGGGAGGTTAACAGCATTCACCTACAAACAACCATTGTGGGTATAATGAGAGTGACTAGCTAAGTGGCACAACCACCCTTAGTCACTGTAGACCTTTTTTTTTTTTAAACTTCTGCAGAATCGTCCAATAAAATGTCCTTGGGCCAGTAGTCCCCCTGATCTCTGCTGATGGGACCTAACAAGGTTGAAATCGCCAGCTTTCCAGAGATTGGACTCAGATGGAGAGCCAAGGATAAATTTATAGAAAAGAAAAAAAACCAAGGAACTATCGCATGAGCTGATTGTTTAGTAACTGGTGGTGTTAGTGGACAATATAGCATAACGCGTAGTTCCTTGGTCCTTTTCTTTTCTATAAATTTCCAGAGATCGAGCAATATTCTTGTATGTTGTATAGCCGGTAGTAGCGTGGACGTGTAAACTTTATTTACACCCAAGATGGCAGGCATTTTATGTTCATACATGGATGGTAGTCAGGACATGGGAACACATACGGATCATCACTGTAACGGATGTATATCAAAGCGTAGCACAGCTTGATCAAACTGGCGTGAAAGATGCGGTTAATACTGACCAGCTTGGGCAATGACGTCCCGACCAATGCAGATACCACGGTCAACCAAGTTCATGGTCTCCACAAAGTCAGACTCCTTGAAGCCACGTGATGTCAGCGCAGGTGCACCTGTCGAGGAGAGAGATAGAGAGATAGAGGAGAGAGAGAAGAGGGAGAGAGTGAGATTAGCTCACTGCAAGACACAGATTATGCTTGCACAGCACGTGCATTAATGCTGTGTACTGGTATCAGGCGAAACACAACTACAAATGGAACACATACAATTTACCTAGAAGCTGCAAACTGGAACCACTACAGAATTTCGCAAAATGGCCACATCCTCACTTTAACGAAACAGCAGCAGGGATGATGCGTGTAGATGAGCGATGACATTTGCCACAACCATTGCAAACCAATGATCCACTACACGTCACCACACAGTCCAGGGTGACAGGTAATACACAAGCGGAGCAAAGTTCTCAAAGGCTGTCAATACAGCACGGGGTACATACCGAGACGAAGACCGCCGGGGGTCAGGGCACTCTTGTCACCTGGGCATGTGTTCTTGTTGACGGTAATCTCGACCAGCTCCAGGAGACGCTCAGCACAAGCACCATCGATATCCTGTATACAACACATCGATGCACATGGCATATGTGAACAAGAGAAACGTTTACTTGAGCTATTCCAGAAAGATAGCAAGGACGAAAGCGTAGCAAGAAAGGCACATGCATACAAAAGGTAGATAGTTAGATAGCAGGAATATGGAAAAAGCAGAGTCGATGGCAGATCCACGCACACAAGTCCACGCACACAAGTACACACAAGTCCACGCACACAAGTCCACGCACACAAGTCCACGCACACACACGCGCACACACACACACACACACACACACACACACACACACACACACACACACACACACACACACACACACACACACAAGTACACACACACAAGTACACCCGCATACCTTGGGACGCAGGTCGACGAGGATCAAGTGATTGTCAGTACCGCCGGACAGGACACGGTAGCCAAGCTCACCGAGGGTGGCTGCCATCTGCTTGCTGTTTGCAACGGTCTGCAGCTGATAGTCGCGGAACTCACCGGTCTGAGCCTAAGCCAGCAAGGAATGACACACAATCCCACAGTCTTAATACTTGGTCCGGCTCATCGCAATTGTCGCTTATTTTTCGCCACTAAGAACAGGAGTTTTTTTACCGCTCTGTGAAATGTCAAATGGACATAGTGAGGAAGCATGATACATGAATACTCTCCGCCACAAGAAAAAATTTCAGCAATGGAATCAGGTGAAGCGAGTCGAAGACAGGAAGCAAGGTAAGCGAAATGCACGAAATAAATCAGCGAAGGAGCGCGTTCTTGCACTCACACTAGTAATACAGGTCCAAAGTTCACTCAACTCTGCACATCTCTCTCTCGAGCCGCGTCGTTACATGAGCTGACATTTGCTGGTGTCTAGCTGCTGGCGTAGACTGGTAGAGTATCTTTTGCGTTCTCAGTCTGTCGTATGGCAGCAATGGGAAAGGAACAGTTGTGGCTGTCACTTCGGTGCTTGAAGGAACCTTGGGCAATGTGACCTGTGTGTCACCACAGTGTGTTTCAACAAAGCCTTCAAATGAGGCATACAGGCCTCTCCAGACAGGTGTCATACGCTCCCTGGATAGGCTGGCCACGACTCTTGTAATGCGGCTGCTAGGTCCACCAAGAGAAGGAACAACCAACAGGTCGGCCGGGCACATCGCATCAAAAACACCTTTCTTCTTCAGCATGATGCTCATACTCTTCTGCCGTGCACTCGTGCCTGTCACGCTCTCCAGGCCAGGATGTCAGTTGCACCTGCTACAGTTCCGATCTCCAGGTCGCTGCGCTTGGCTTTTGGCAACACAGACAGTGAATGGCCAGATTCCCACTTCCCAAAAAAGTCGAATACATCGCGATTCAAAGCGCTAGTCGCGATCATTTTTTCTTTGGTGCCTACTTTGACCTTGCCATCACGACCTCCCAAGCAAAAGTAAGTTAGATATCGTGATTGGACTGGGTTTTACCTGTCAAAAAGTGCGTTGGGGATAAGCGACAATTGCGATGAGCCGGACCAAGTACACGGAATGATAAGGATGCAGGGACGTTTTACAAACACATGCCATTACAAGAACAGTTTTAAGAAATGGAAGCGGGACAAGGAGTCGTCTCTCACCTGCTTCAGTGCAACAGCAATGCCGGCAATGGCGTTCATGTGGGGACCACCCTGGAGGCCGGGGAAGACGGCAAAGTTGATCTTCTGCTCGTAGTCATACATGAGGGGCTTTCCGGTCTTCTTGCTAACTCCACGTTGTCCACGGCGGTAGAAGATAACACCGGAGCGAGGGCCGCGCAGTGTCTTGTGTGTTGTGGTCGTCACAACATCCGCATACTCGAATGGACCAGGGACGATCTGAAGTAGGAGTTCCGAAAGTCACACACGCGACACAATTCAGGATAAGATCATTTAAACATGTGTGACCTCACCGCTGGTGAGGGCACAACATGAAAAAGGAACACTGAGGGCAAGAAAGCAAGTCGGCAGTGCAATACAGCTGCTCACAGGAACACGCAGTCTTGATAAACAAGAGCACAGGCCTGACATGTTCGTAAACATTCAATTCAAATTTAACATACACAAAGAGAGGCCAAAAAGCCGATGCTAATACAGTGACTGGTGTGCAGGGAATAAAGACTGCCACGAGTTAGGTTCGGTTCCTGCGTCGCACATTTCCCTTTACGCTGAACGCCATTACATTATACCCCCAGTCCCAGCGTTCCATTCCCCTCTTGTACGCACTGTTCCAGCACCAGTGTTGGATTCCAGGGGGTGGTCTCAGCAAGAGGCCTCGACGCCTCCTGTTGTCCATCTTCTAGCAGGGTATGCCTACAGGATAGTGATGGTAGAAGACTCAGTACTTCCAATGAACTTGCCTGGACCATTTTCACTGAAATCAAGTAGCTCCGGTCTTTCATTACCGGCTGACTGAAATAAGCGCCACATCGTTTCAGGGCTTTTGTGTAGATTTTTTCAAATTGGGTAAAATTTTAGGGCTTGCAAGCTACCAAGCGCCTCGGCCAGTATTACCGAAGTACAGTAAATACACCGACAGGGTAAACACAGAAGAACAGCAGAGCAAGAGAATGAAGCTGGACTTACATCTGCAGCCACCAAGCCACTGATATGTGCCATATCGGCCATCAAATATGCTCCAACCTTGTCACAGATCTGAAATGGAAAAGATAGATAGACAGAGATAAAGAGAGAGAGAGGCACACACACACACACACAGAATATTAGCCTGAGCACTTCACCAATTTATTTCAGGGACTGATTTACTGTAAAAGCAGACATTTTCGGTGGTGTTTTATTTTCGGTAACTTCGGCGCCGACAATTTTTACCGAAAAATAAAACGCACCGAAAATGTCGGTACTACCGGTACTGTATACATTTAGTACTAGAACACTTACCTGAATAATGGATTTTACCGAAAATTTCCCTCCACCGAACCGCCAATTTTGGAGAATACCGAATATATTACACCACCGAAAATTACTGCTTTTACAGTACTTCAAAAAAATTGCGTAGCAATAATTGCTACACACCCCGACGTTTGCATAGCATTTTTTTTCAAACCACGAAGCGAGGACGCCTTCTCCCTGCACATCTTGCAACATATCTTGGTCATAGCTCCACCACTCGACTCTGCGCGAATCCATTCTTTTTTGGGATCAAATTCAGCAATCCACTTGTCCACAGTACCTTGCTTCACAGACATGTCGGCAGTGAAGAGGCTTCATCGATAAGGCAAGCAGAGTTTTACAAAGATAAGTCCTGAACGGTCGAGGCGCCTACTGCTAGTGAAGGAATGCGGTCTAAATCTCAAAAGCAGGTGAAGTATTTGTCGACACTCGCCTCGTGCTTCCTGGGCTGCACTTCAAGTAAGTAATAGTTAGTTAGTTTCCAAGTGCACGTACTGCAGTGCGCGCGCGGAGAAAGTGCGACATATGGACATAGTCCCGTGGCCCGCGCGTGCGTATCCTGCAGTGCAGGCTTGACAACCACACACACACAGTCTAATCTAGTCACAGTGCATGCCACGCCGCCTCGTGGCGCCTAACCGGCCACACACACTGTAAAGCTACACACGTGCGTGCGCTATGCGTGCACCACAAGTCTATGTCCAGGGCCATACTAACATGTATGTTGTGTCGCAGTTTATCGCGACTCACTACGAATCGCAGACACTGTGTTTTGCGTCGCAAACTGCGATGCGATACGGGTTAAATTAGTCCCTGTATTTCAACCGCACCTGTTATCAGCCCTATTCATGAACTCTGCTTACAACAGGGAGCCAAAAAGCTACCGGTAGGCAGTGAATCCTATCTGCAACCAAACACAGGTCCATAGCAAATGGTACAAGGCAACACTACTCACTTGACGGAAACGGCTGTAGTCGATGTTACGCGAGTACGCACTGGTACCGGCAATGATGATCTTCGGCTTGAAGCGAGAAGCAAGCTCCTCGAGATGGTCGTAGTCAATGATGCCAGTATCCGGCTGCACAAAACAAACCAGGCCAAGATAGGAGAGGTGATAAGCACCAAGTCGCCCAAGCTCACACACGATTCTCAGAGCTCATCACAGTGTGCATCGCGGTCTCATGAAATTGAGAAAACGAATAAGGTTCTTTTCTGACTTGAACTCAACACAGAAGGAAAGCATCAATGCCAGATCTTCTATTCATCTTCTACCCGTTTCTCTCTCTCTCTCTCTCTCTCTTTCTCTCCACAAACACACACAAATACGTGCTGTTAGAAACTATAAAATACTGTCCGTCACCTTACATTGATTCTGTAAGGCATGGACTCAAAGTACACAGAAGAGGCGGAGATGCGCTTCTTGTCAGTCATAAAGCCGTGAGTCAAACTGTGCAAGTGAGGAATAGCAAAAAAAGCACAAAAACAATGTTGTCACAGTGCTCTATCCACAGCAACATTCAAACTGCGTATCAAAGTTCAAACCCAAACAGGTCATGCCACCCCACCCACACCTACTTAGTAGCTGGCTACACTACGGTACTTCTGCAACTGCAGTGGGGCTCAATGAAATCCGATCGCCTGAGTCAAGGTTGCGCCGTCCGGCAGTGCGTGGGCCAGTGTTCACAGGTCTGGGGCTGCACCGCGCCCCGCGTGGCATGGACTCGCTTGATCGGATTTCATTGAGCAGAACTGAACTACGTAGTGGCTGTCCAACGCAGCCACTGCACTCTCAGAAGCAGATGATGAGAGAAAGGAAGAGAAAGTTTTAAAACAACACTTGACAAGGACAAGGACACGCACACATCATTTGACGCCCATCGCCGGAGGCGATGATAGCGATGCTACAGCAGAAGCCATAGCAACGTGTGCTGGGATTGCACCATTCAACAGCTTGCAAGGCTAAAAAATTGACCGCCACTATTCAGCCTGGTCTACATCACACAGCTATGAAGTGCACACACACACACACACACACACACACACACACACACACACACACACACACACACGGTACTTACTGTCCACCGTCGGGCAAGTCCAGACCCATGATGCGGTCATGTGGCTGCATGAGACCGGTGTATACGGCGAAATTGGCCGGCGAGCCTACAAAAGAAGAAAAAAGAAGCCCGAGCATGGTCATTACTTGTATCATACCGGGCAAGACTAAACCCAACTGTCATTGCAAGCTGCGCAATACGATATTCATGCCAATCGCACATGCGTAGCCTATCCTTTAGGCGGGCTGTGTGTGTGTGTGTGTGTGTGTGTGTGTGTGTGTGTGTGTGTGTGTGTGTGTGTGTGTGTGTGTGTGTGTGTGTGTGACATTATACACGCATGTCCCAGTTACTCTACTATCTGGTCTGCTCCACGGACATACCAGAGTAGGGCTGAACGTTGACTCCCCACTGTTCAGGTGAAATGCGATACGCTTCCAGAGCACGTTGCTGGCATAGCGTTTCAACAGCATCGGTGTACTCCTGGCCGCCATAGTACCTGCACACACACACACACACACACACACACACACACACACACACACACACACACACACACACACACACACACACCCAACACGAAGCACAGCAATGAGCCCAGTACACCAGTAGCGGTCTACCTTCTCCACTCTGCTGGTCGGAGAAGGACGTAGTACTTCGGCAGAACTGAGCACAAATCGTATACAAACCCATCGCAAAACCAATCACGTGTTTGTTGGTGGTTGAAGGAAGTGCAGACCGTAGCTCAAGATTTTCAACTGCACGCATTCATCCTCCCTTACCGCTTTCCTGGATAGCCCTCGCAGTATTTGTTGGTGAGGCTTGAACCCAGGCACTCTAGAACAGCACGGCTGGTGAAGTTCTGTGAAAAAAACACAGATTGGAACACCAGAGCAGGGTTGGTTTATGAGCACATGCCTAAAAAGCATAATTATACTGTATATACAGTTGACAAACTCCTAGTCCCGGGCCCAAACGCAAGCATACCGTACTTTCGCGCACAAAAGCCCATGTGCTTAAGTTTGAATATAATGGCCTCTGCACCCATAAAGAGTCCTATGCATCTTACGGTCCAGCGTACGTCCATACTATCAAGAGTACATAACCCCCAAGAGTGTGCAACTGCTTGCACAACCTCTATGCTGTGCTGCGACGGCAGAACTTCACATCACGTGACATGGTTCAAAAGGTTACGCCGGCAAACAGTGCAAAGTGACCACAAGAGAGTTGAGCCCAAAGCTGGGTTGCGTACAACCAAGAGTACATAACCCCCCCAGAGTGTGCAACACCTGATCCAGCTCTGCATAGGGTCTTGGTCGAGCGCAATCGGATCTTTGTGTCATAATACCGTACACATCTGAGGGGAACCTGGCCGGGGAGTTGCGGGTTTTAGGATCAAAAACAACGGTACCCTGCCTTGATCGGGCTTCCGCTGGTGTGGAGTGTACGCATGGCATGAGAAGATCCGATTACGCTCGACCAAGACCCTAGGCAGAGCTGGATCAGGCGTTGCACACTCTGGGGGGTTATGTACTCTTGGTACAACCCTGTATCTATCATGCACATAGTGCAAAAAATGTGTACGGGTTCAGCACGTGATGTGAAGTTCTGTAGCTGGAGTTGCACACTCTGGGGGGTTATGTACTCTTGATACTATGCGCACAAGCAAAATGACCTCACAATTCTTCATATAAGCATTATGTTTCGTGCAGGTAAATATGGTAGTAACTAGTTGCGCTTGGTGAACGGATGTGGCATTCTCGGTATGGGGGTACGTGCCGCCACATACGGTGACACGATCCTGAGGATGCCGCCAGGTGCAATCGACGCATAGCACCCAGAAAGGATGCATTGTTTTTCGTTTTGTTTTTGTAATTGTACAGCAACGTATTTTACTTGTAAAAAATGGCGGAGCAAGCTGACAATCGTCCTCCGTTTGTCAGTTCACTCCAGTTGGGTGGGGGTGCTTTCTGGTTCTCGGTGTTGGCTCTGCGTCGGTTCTCTGTTCTTTCTATTTTTCCTCTTCTTCTCTTTGTCTGGAACGACAGCCTTTTGACATTTCCTCTGGTAACTAGCCTTCTTGGCATTGGTCAGCATGTCAACTTGCAAGATCCCTCTCCCCACACACATTTTCTGCAGATAACGAATTTTAGCAAAATATTTTATTTCAAATTCAATTTTCAGCATCCAGTAGTACCTGGCCATTCTCCATGTGCATTCAATACTAGGATTATTTGTTCAAAACAAAAGTCCTGAACCCACCCACCTCCCAAACGAAAACTTTTCGTTGAAAACCCCCAACCCATTTGGTAGCCTTTTTCCAATAATTATTTGTAAGGGGTCGCCCACAAATATCGATGTTTTTTTAGAGAAGATATTCGTTTGGGGGGGGGGGGGGGGGGGTGGGCCCTGTTCGTCTCGTCTTTGAGAAAAAATATCGAACTCTATCTATGGACGGGCACTGTTCGAACATGTAGTTTATGACCTACACAAAGTGAAAGTCAACCTCGTGAGCATAACCATGGCAAGGTTGTGCGACCGTGGCAACATAAACCTACAATGTGTACTGTAGGTGTATGGTGAAATTAGAGTTGCAGCTGGTCACGTTTCATGAGGAAATTGAACTTCATTAAAAAATATCGATCCCTTGCATAAACATGTGTATGTTCGTTTTGAGGGGGGGGGGGGGGGGAGGGAGGGGGTCTGGGGAGAAATGAACAAATATCGTCTTGAAAAAATATCGATATTTACGGACGGCCCCTAATGAATATAATGGGTGTGGCGGAATGGGCACAATATCACCCACAGAGATCCAGCATCACCAGCCTCAACTACATTTTCCTGCCATGTGATCATAGAGCCATATCTACCACAATCAGAGTACTAGTACGTGATTGTCTGTGCGTATGTAGCAGTGGACCCAGCCTGCATGGTCTGCAGGGGTTTTCAAGTGGTGCACTCAAAAGTCGTCAAGGTCACAGTACAAAAGGTTGATGACTTGATCAACTACCAATACAGAATCATTTGATTTATGTTCACATGGTCATGCAGGGGATGTGCATCTCTGAAAGGCCACGTGCTGGCATTTTACTGGTAGAAATTTTCTAGACCATTACGCCTGGCGCAATGCAGCTGTCGAACCCGCAAGTTTTGTGATGGAGTTAGTCAAGTGAAGTAGAACTGAATCTCGCCCAGATACACACATGATAATTATCCATACCACATAATCATGCTGGGGGGGGGGGGGGGGGGGTGTAACTGATCAACTCTGACTGAAAACATTCCCCTGAATAATATTCAATAACTCCAAACGCGCTCACTGAGTACTGAGTGGGCGAACACTATAAATTAAAGAGGCATTGCACATAAATTCTGTTCCAATTTGCTGCTGTAAAGAAGGTAGCAGCTGTTACACTATTACTGTATGCAAAAGCCTCATGTGAGTTGCCCTTCAACAATTATTCCAGCAAGAAGAAAAGAACGTCGTTGCAGCACTTGCCTCAGAAGCAACGAGCTCCAGTCCTTGCACCTGCCGTTGCTTTTCGCCCTTGATTAGAGTGTGAACTTCAGGGTCAGCCTGTTCCAACGGCTCAGTACCAGTCCAGACAGACCGGGGCCGTTGAGTTATCTACGGACAAGGATGTCATCCAAAAAAAAAACACAAGGCATGTTAGAAGACGAGAGTATGAACCACTCACGTGCAGAAGAGCGTTCGGGTATGGTGGGATTCTTACTTGAAGGACTGGGCGGACAGCTCTCCTCAACATCTTGCTCGAGTAAACCAACAAACGTCTTTGTATGAAGGAAAGAAATGACACAAGGACCTTCCACTCCTTGTTACATGTAGTTGGAAAACAGGAGGAAATATTTGCAGAGAAACCTCTCCCTGTGCACTGGCACTGCTAGCATGCTGAGCATGAGTGCTGTACTGTCTGTATCATCAGCTGGTCGATCTTCCAAAAAAATTTCAGTGTAGATCTTACAAGTACAACTACAACAAGTACAACCCGTACCGTATCCGCGCGTACACTGGGATGCTCCGATCCGAATGCACAAACCGTGAAGACCGGCGTGGTCTCGTGAGCTAGCTGTTCAGATGCGCGGAGCACGGCTGTTTTTTTTCGCGAAATTGCGACATTTAACAAGATGGCAGCCAAAAGTCTCGATTGGGCGGGATCGGCAAGGAAATTTGAATTTTCAAATTCTCAGCAGCCGATTTCGCTGTGGTTTTCGCTGGATTTAGAAAGCTACCAGGCCAGGTTTACCCGGAAAACAGGTATTCCGTGTTCCTCTTGAAACTAGCTTTCCGCTGGTACCTCACATGGCCAACTTCGTCTCAGGAACAGTTTGTTCCGCGTTGCACAAGTCAAGCCTTCTTTCTCGCTCGTTCCTTGATTCATCGTTGACATGCCTGCGTCAAGAAGCCCTTTCAGGAATTTTCCCAGTCTAGCTTTCAGTTTTCCCAGGTAGAGGACTATATTCTGGCTATCTTCACCAAGTTTTATCACGGGCCGTGCACAAACTTCAGGTCCCGTGCGTTCGATGCTGAGCTACCTTTTCATGCGATTTAGGGGACAGATGGCATGGCGCTGGAGTCGCTGTTGAGTCCAAGAGGCCGAGGCCTGGTGGAAACTGCCCAGTAGACATGTGGGGTATTGCTGAAAAAGGCAGCAAGCACACAGATAGCCCCGAAATTGTGATGGAGATCCAATTGTGCGTTTGTTCGAGTGCATATCGGCAAATTTGAAAGTTGCACCCGTGATGCCGGCGAGGAGAAGCTGAAAATCAGTGCGTGCGTCAATATCCAGACTACCAGGGACAGCTTGGAGAGGTTCGAAAAGGTCAGGATGCTGGTTGACCACGGCAGGAGTTCCTTTTACCTTCCTTCTCTCTCAAATTGTCTGGATATTGAGTATCTCGCTCGAGCGCTTTCAAATATTAAATCCTGGTTTGACTTGCGAAATCGTGGAACCACACGGAGAGTGACATGGGTTTCATCCCAAAACGCAAACTCCCATCGTATTCATGAGGTTTGTACCGCGTTACGTAAATCGCACCGAACGACTCCATATTGTTAGATGTCCGTGCGCGAACAGCCGTGGGAGAGGTCAAGCCACGCCGAATCGCTTGCATCGATGCTCCAAACGTGCATAGATCACGTGAACCGTCCGTGCCACCACGGCACCACGTAGATCTCTACCAGGCCTCAGGCGCTATAGCGCTAGCTAGGCGCCCATCGCTCGGGTGCCATGGCCCATGTACACTACACTAGTATAGTCACTAGCCACCACCAGTCCCACCGGCATCTCTACAATACAGCCTACATTTTATTTAGAGGCAAGTCACTACTGAGTACTGCCAGAACTGGTGCTAAAGCCCGGGAGGATTAGTATGTGTCAAGCTCCTTTTAAAAGTCTTTCAAAGGGACCACACTCCACAGTGCAGTCTACGCTTCTTCTTACGCCAGTACAGTGTCAATAGTAGTGTAGATCCACGAGTCGTACAGTCAAGTACTGTTCCGAGTCAAGGGCTCATCAGCTTCTTTGTCTAGATCACTCCACAACCCTTTTCTACCAACACTACAGCAGGCAACACAGTCGTCATCATGCTCATTACATATCATGTACACGAGCGGAGTCAGACTAGACTCAGAGTACATAACCAGTCCTGATTACCCCTGGGGCTATGCGGGGAGACGCTCTAGACGTCGCGTGGGCCATGGGCTCACAAAATAATTATCTACAGATCTGTAGGGTCAACGACCACCTATTGCTAACATCTCTGATCTTGGTATAAACATCAAGACAAGACGGTAGGATCGGGAGCTGACGGCATTGCGTATTCTTGCAATGCAATCTTGGTATTTTTAGCAGGGAGTACAGAAAAGAGCTCAAATAATTGAAAAGACGCAATCGCAATCCACACGTCACTACATCAGTGTAGTCTTGAAGAACCACAGAATCGAACGCAAGTAACAGTTAGTTGCTTCGTTCCATTCTTTTCAGAGGTTGATTCTAACCCGTTACCTACATGATTGTACACCAGTAGAGTACAGTACGAGTAGTGTGGCTGTCGACATGTCAGGCTGTCACAGTATGCATGGTATGTGCAAGACCAAGAGGACACTGCACGCCAGTTGGCAAAACTATTACCAAGAGTCCATAAAAGGGGGTTATGGACTCTTGCTATTACCTGATTACTTTGTTCTGAACATTACTTCAGTTCTGCTACTGTGCAGCACAGGGCCAGGGAGTCCCAATCCCTCCCGCTACGCTGGCTCTGTCCCTGGCTGTGTGGTTCTTCAAGATGGTGAGTGGTACTAGCAAGAGTTCATATTCTGGGGGTTATGAACTCTTGGTGGTAGACTACAGCTACACAGTACAGTACAGTCTATATGCAACATCGTCTGGTCTACATGGTCTACAGTGCATTTCAAAACTATAGGCGCGTAGGGTTTTTGAAATATTTCAAATTTGGCTGGACCTTTTTGAGAATAGTTTTCGGAATATTGCTCAGGATCGCTCTCCACTCTCATACGCCCAATTATTTGGAAAAATTTATGCACAAAGACAGTGATCACAGATTTTATGTGGTATAGATGCTGGCATAACGGTTTTTGCCTAGGTACGCGACTGAGTATAGTTTTGAAATGGACTGTAGAGTCACTACAACAGTCTGTGGCAGGGAGTCGTAAAATACTGGTATTTTACGACTCCCTGGTCTGTGGAACAGGTTGCGCGCCAAGTCATGAGCTGAGGTATATTATGGCACCGCAGGCCGCGCACCTGAGGGCCTTTCTGGAAGCCTTACTCGATCGGATAGAGCGAAACTGAGCACACTGGGATGCGAGCAGTTTTTAGTACTCCCGGGTCCGAAATCTCACCACCAGGCCGGGCTGATCAAAACGTCTGCCGGGTCTGCAGCCTTGTACAAACGTGGATCTGCCGACACTGTGCTGTCGACGACATGTCCGGCAAGGCACCTTGCGTGAAAGCAAGGAACGCTTTTAGAAAGGAAGCTTCTTCTCCAAAATTTTAAAAAAATTGAAAATTATTCCTTCTGAAAATATCATCGCGCTCTTGACCTCGAAGCTGACTGCTGAATGCGATTAAGAAAGAAGATTCCTGAAGATGCACCAGACTGATTCTGGCAAGCCGTCTGTCGTCTGGATATGCACTGTTGTTCGTCATGGTCAGCAATATTCTTCGTTCGTCCTTTCGTTTTCCTGACCACGATGACAAGCAGCTCTCATGCTCAGGTTAGTGCTACTTGTATGTCTGGGCACACAACACATCTGAGATGCACCCACTGACGTTATCGTACTGAAGAATGCAGCAAGGGTTCCTCGGATTCTCTTGATTTCGGAACAAATTTCCTTCACTTTCACCCTCTCCGTATCTTCCCCGTGCCCTCCATGCATGCACAATGGAGCTTGCATTTCAAATGTTGTTTTTATACTTTGGCAGTGCCTCTGCTACACTTTCATAGAGAGTGAGGTCCTGTAAATAGGATCCAACATTGTTGGTGGTGTGTGTGTGTGGGGGGGGGGGGGGGGGGGGGAGGGGGAGGTAGGTTTGCAGCCAGGATGTAGGAATGACACTTCTGCGCAGCAGGTGGCAATAGTCAGAACTGGTCACTCTACAAATCCCATACCTGCCAACCTTTGCAAACCTGAGATCGAATGACATACCTAGGCATGAAAATGTATACAAATGTAGCTCGCGGTGAGGCATGGAACTAATGCACTTTTGGGTGCCTATTACCGCCCGCGATGTCGGGACGATCCCGGCCAAATCGGGATGGTTGTCAGGTATGAAATCGCAACCGAGAAAACCATTAAATTAAAAGATAAACTCGGCTGGAACGCCGCTTTTCTGGGAATAGAAAATGTGTAATGCCACTTTCGGCTAGTCCTTTTGCAAAAGTGATTCAGTGCCTCCCCAATGCTGTATGAGGGCCAGGACATAGCAACTTTCTGTATGCCGGGGGGGGGGGGGGGTCATCGTCCGCAACATTGGTAGAGTTACGGTTACATTGTATATGTAGATGCATGTGCATCAGGGATTCATAGCACCTGGGGAGACGACATGAGACCAAAGTACCCAACGCGTTGTGAGTTTTGACCCCATATTGGGTAGTTCTACGTGATCTGTGTTCTGTGCAGCTCTTAATCACAGGCTTGCTCTGTTTAACCCAAACGTCTAGATCAACAATTCTATAGACCTTATTCGATAACATGATTTTTGGACTCGCCTCCAGGGATTTGTCGTAAGCTGGGGCACGCGTACGTGAAACAAGTGGCAAGAAAGGCCCAGTTCGTACAAGGGAGTAGTAATATACCGGTATTTTTCTACTCCTATGTTCCCACACCAAGTCCTCTGTGCACTGAGTGCAGGTCTCTTGCCGCTCCCTGGTTCCTGGGACCCCGGTTCACGTGATTGTGACGTTTATCGAATAAGGTCTATATGCAGACATGCATAAATAAACCCTTCCACAAGGACGGCTCAAACAGGCAGCCAAGGAGTGAAAATTTCACTCCTGTGGCTAGGGGTGAAACGAAGGCCTCAATTTGCCAAATGAACTTTCTCCATCGAAACGAACGAAGGTGTCGAATGATTCTTTTACCAGTTCACAGTTCCTGTTCACGCGCACTCCCGGAGGGGGGCTACTATGCACTTGTAGTGACACTTACCGTAAGCCAAGTTGCACCTATGGAAGCCAAGTGGAACATGACTAGTTGACTGTACAGACTACAGTACAGTATACATGCACATGTATACAGTGAAGATCAGTGCATGCATGCCTGCCGTAATCGTATGTTGACCTTCGTTCGAATTGAAAAGAGAGGGTCGTTTCGAAAAAGAAAAAAATAGCTCAATGTAAGTATGATGCTGCTGACAATTCAAGACTCAC